CTAGACTTCTCTGTGGTATCTCTATAGGTATGGGATAGAGTCCGCAACGTTCTGCTTTATCCCTATGTTATACAGATGGTTCGAAGTCCACACTCAGGCTAAATATCTATTGTTCATTGGAGGGTGTGGACCGGTGATCTATGTGTAAGAGACTACTGCTGTTGCTGGTAGTGATGATGGAGTGTTATCCATCCATATCTCTCATGGAATGATCCTCGATAGCGGTCTGATGGCGGACCCGAGATATTATTATGATAATAGGTATTATATGGCTGGCAGCAGTGACCCCCCTTATCAGAGTGTTGGAGATGTTATTTCCAATATCATAGCATTCGCAGTGGATGGTCTTGTGTACCCCCTCTCAACAGTTGGAGCAGTATCACTTGTCGCTAGAGCAGCGTACTAACAGTGTTATAATGGTCCATACTACGATCATTATAGTATAGATACTTCCGCCTCCACGATCCAACTCTTAAAGATGATAACCTCAACAACAACAACAACAACAATCGTCATTCAAGATTCCTGAGTATGTGGGATATGGGTCATAACGGCAGTGAGGGTCCTCTTGGCCGGGAATTAGCAAGGTAATATTTGTATATCCATCTGAGTATCATTATTAGTATCATAGAGCTGTTGCCAGGTTCTATGGCGTCTATTTCGGTTTCTACGCCGGCTCTGGCATATTATGTCTCCTACTCGGTATCCTACTATTACAGCTTCCTCACCACATGGGTCTAGGAGAGTGAGATAATAACATATTTACTGGCGCATCGAAGGCTTGCTCCTCAGATACAAGGGATTGACGTTCTGGGCTCTTGGTATGGTAGGCCTTATGGGAGCATTCTCGTACCTATCCATACCTCCATCTCCACGTAGTGATGTCATACCAGGTTATACTCTACTATTACTACTATCCTTCCATCGGTACTACTGCTGTTCAATATTTCAGGTAGTCCAACGCCATGTGTATCGCCATGGAAAACCTTAATCTTTGCTATCACCCATCGTACTTTTACTCCTTATGCATTATTGTTAATTCTCTGTGGGATGGTGAGTCCAACCTGCTGCTCTCCCATCACCACTTAAGACGACGACGACGATATCTGTCTTTCCTTCTTGTTAGTTAGAAGCTTACGGTTACGTCGACTTCGTAATGTATATATCGGCTCCGAGGATAGGCCCCAGATCCACCTCTTTGGTAACAGGATTCGCTCTCTTGGTTGATGGTTGTATAGCCCTCATGTATGGTTATCTCGTTTACCGAGGAGTCTGCAGGCTGAGAACAGTAAGAAGACGCTTAAGTGTCAGCAGCAGCATCAGCATCAGCAGAACGCTTGTTGTTGTTATGCAGGTACTCTTACTAGGTGCCGTCGCATTAGTAGTAGCAATGGCTTATTGTGCAACATTATCACTTCTTATCTTGCTACATCCGACGACCGATAGTTATCCAAATTCCCCTATTGGCATCAACTACATTAGAGTAAGCCCTTATCCCTCTTGTGGTGGCATACCTCTATCAGGCTTCTCTCACCATCATCATCAGGTACCTGGAGATATAGAGGACTGGACCAAAGTTGATGATGTTGAGGTTTATGACTATTTCATTGTTATCTTTGGCATTATCCTCATTGGCCTGGGATTAGTTCCCTACAAAGTTCATATACTATCTGTCACACAACGGATATATCAAGCAACGCCGTAAGTTGAACAGCAGGAACTACATCTACTCGTATTATTACGCCTTTATCTATCAGGTATTATCTACAGGTATCCACCCATTACAAGGGTTTACGCAGTGTCGGATTCATCATACAACTGGGTATCGATACTTTCGTATCGTCTTACTATGGTATATCTCATACCTCCAATATCATAGCTGCTCTCATAATACTGGTGAGGATCATCGTAGTGGACAATTTCGTCACCATAAGCTTTCAGGTTTTGTCGATCCTTTCTTACATACCACTGGGTTATCGCTGGTTAAAAATCGGTGAATAAAAGGTTGACTGAGAGGGGCGGCGCCCTACTGCGAAACATGCGATTTACAAGAAATAGAACAGAAGCCGCGCATCCTAATTCATGCAGATGTGGATTAGGCTCTTATCACAAGAAAATATTCCACAGCTTTATTATTACGGTTCACGAGTTTATTTCATTAAGATCACTATTCATATGGTGCTTCCGCTCATTTCCGATCGATTGGCTACTCAGCTGTAGATGTTTCGTTGATACTCTGGTAATGCCGCACGAGGGCGATCATTCTAGTCATCTTGGGGGAGGCCTCGGTAATAATTATCAATTGTCCAAGTACGGTCAATTGCTATGAAGCCATCATCCTGCTACGTGTAGTGTCTCTTCCGGATCGCTACTACCATCGGTACTGCAAGTGGTAGCGAAAAATATAATGTCCTGCAATGCCTTGTGAGAAGCCCATGAGGTACGGCCTCAAAACAACTGGCTGTGAAACCGTTGGAAGAGGCAGAAGAGACAGATCTTCGAACTTCCCGATGTTTTATATACTTAGTTACATTATACATATAATCCGTGAATGATTCATAGCCATCTGGCTCAAGGCGGCACAAACTGGACTTTCACGCTCCCCAATAAGAACATATCATTTGATAATGGTCGGGCTGAATGGGTGTAAAACGCCGGCAGTGGAACCACGAACTCGGTGTCACCAAAAACGTGGTCATCAGTCTACTAAAGAAAGTTGGGTATTATTCTCATGTGGGTGGTCGAGCTTGTGTTGTGCCGTTTGTTCCTGGCTATACGATATAACCTATATCGTCGTATCATAATTCTATGTAAATACACTGTATGGGTTCTTCACCGTCCATCATAAGGTTTCCTCATGTTCATCAATCTCGCTGTTGTGTTTATATTCATCGTGGTGCCGGATAGATATCATTTCAGTTGGTTAGGAATGGCCCTCCAATCTGTATAGATTGTATGGAGAATTCAAGCCGATCATCCGATATAGATACTTTTAGTGATGATGTTGATGACCATGACATCCCTTCAAGGAATGAAGGACGGGAAGGTAAGCCTGATGTCGGTGGTCAGAGCTGTGTGTAGCAGTATTATATGTAGGTAAAAGTCTACCTTGGTCTGTAGTAGTAGTAGAAGGGCCACAGTGTCAGGGGCTGCTGCCTTAAGTATACTCCGAGGAGAGAGGGAATATTATCATCATCATGAAACAAGTGTAATTATTCATACCTTAATAATCGTGGTTGGACTTATCATTTCCTAGGACTGCAACAACAAAGACCGTTCTGTCTCCGTAAGTGGTCCTCCTTACCACCACCGCGATCATGGTCATGGTCCGTCTCGATCTCGGCAAAGTCTCGTTGGGCCTTTGTATCGGTCAGTGCATCATGACCAAGACATCAGCAAGAAACCTAATGCTTATTATCGCCAACGTGGGTTCACATCGACAAGCTCCCTTTTAACAGACTCGAAGTCGAGAAGGGTGTCTTCAATGTCCATTTCTTCTTCACACGCCCCTCTGACCCCTGCCCCGGTTAGTATATATAAGGATTCCTCTTACTGGCTCAAGACAGTGTAGTGTCCTTCTTCCCCTTCATCATGCTATTCTTCTTGCCATTCTTCCTCAGTGTGGCCCTTGCTATAGCCAAATCGTTTGTGGAGGCTGGTCTTCGTTCAGCATATGCCAATGAAGTGTCTGCATTTGGTGGATCGGCCATTTTCCGAGGTTTCTTGATGTAACGCGGGCGGTAGTTTGCGGCCTTGACATGAGGACAATACAGTTCACGCACATTCTTCAGTCCGATTAGTGACTACAAGTGTATGAAGTGGAATGATTCATATTCACTAATATGATATGTAGTCGTTGCCATATATGGTTGGTACTCATTCAATACCGAAATGGTTGTATAACCTAGTATCAAAAGCTCGACCTTCGACTCGAGACTTTCTAGTTCGATGATGTTGTAGTAGACTCGCTCAACCTTGAATGACATGAATCGGTGTGCATGATCCATATCGAAAGAATGAAGGTAAACGGCAGACTACACCGAGATCAGATTGCGAATCTGCAATGCAGTTTTCCATTTGTTCTTTCCTCCTCCCTCCCCCCTCACGTCAGTTCCTTGAATCACAATCTATGGCTCCTTTTCACTATAACTCCCTTCTTCCTATCACAAGGTATTTCGATAACTTCCGCCTGTTCTTAGGTTGGCGATAGAAGTGTGTGTTAGCTGGTTTTGTCCACGGATACATCGATGGTTCGAGCTCCGAAGTGGAGTGAAATATTTACTTTCCCTGGGTGCTTTTGGTGCCGGAGTCCACGTGTAATATCGGCTACTACTACTACTTTCCTTGTCACCCCGTCATACTAAGATGAACACAGATACTACCTAGTCCTGGGTAGCGCTATAGTATCTTTCGCGTTTGCGGGGTATATGTTTGCTAGTGTGATAGCTGCACTGCTCTATCCACTAGAAGTCGTCACTGGCTATATCATAGTCGGCCGCTCCGCGTACGCCATTATTATCATTATCATATCTCTGAACGACTGTGTAGATATTTTTGTTGCCGAGATCCTACGAGAAGTGATGCTCCCGAGGAGATCCTTACTCGTGATAACTTTCATAGAAAGCTGTCCAAACACGTGTCTTGGTAGTGATGAGAATTTAGATATCTTTCTCCCAACTCAACAGATCCATACTCTGCAGGTTCTTTGGTATCTACTTCTTTTCCCTTTTTGGTGCTGGCATCGTCAATATGCTTTTCCAAACAGTGTACTTGCACACTAACATTGATGATGGAAATGCGGCCAGGTCAGGGACTCTGACTCAGGGTCTTTTCTACAGCGCACTGATTCGTCCAATATTCAATTCAGCTTGTCATCATCATCATCATCATCATCATCATCACTCAGTTACCTGATGTTAGCTTTCTGGTCTTCTGGGTTGTTCACTCTCAGTGGGATATTCCTATATTTGGCTATACCACCCTGTCCGCGGACTGATGTTATACCAGGTGAGAAGAGTATTCACAAATGTTTTCGTGGATAAAGACTCATGACTTGCAACAACTCGTTGTTGATATACCTTGTAGGCACACCGGCTCCTCATACCTCGCCCATCGAGACGATGTTATTCCCCCTCCGGAGCGTGAAATACAGAGTGTTTACACCTCTTCTTCTTATCAGTGGCATGGTCAGCAAAATGTCGTTTATCGAATATTATCCCCTCCTGTTACTCAGGTTGAAGGATTCCTTTATGGAGATTTCATCCTATACTTAGTCGATCCGATCCTTGGGCCCCGTGTTGGCAATCTTATTGCAGGCTTTCTCCAGGCGCTCACTGGCGGTTCGTCTCTCCTGTTCTCTCTCGTTTTATACAAGACATCTTGGTGCCGGAAACGCGATGTGAGGAACTAGTACGCCTCTTCCCAGCATTGTGGGAGATCTATGGGAAATCTGAATTTCTGAATGGCTTTATCCCGAAAGGCTGACCCTAGGTGTTGTACCCCATATATACCAAATCCTGATCGTTATTCAAGTCTATTCGAGAATCTCAAGCTACTGTTACCAACAGCATCATTTTTAAAGGCCGAGTAAAATGCATTCTTAGGTTGTTCTCCTCGGTACGAGTTTCCTAATCATCGGCTTAGCTACATTCGCAGTCACAACGAGTCTCCTGGATGAGAGGGCCCCTTCAGGCTCCTTCCTTAAGCCAAACTACGCACCCGTAAGTCCATTGTTCTATTGTTGCAAAATCTTATTCCATTGTTAACCACTATCAGGAATCCAGTGCACCAGGAGGAGCGTGGCAATTGGTTGAAGACCCATCTGTGGTTGATTATGTTGTGGTACTCGCTCTTCTCGGAATCATGGCTGCTGGCTTTTCGGTATACCTATCGCAGCTTCCAGTAATCGTAAACGCTATGTATCAGGAAACTTCGTAGGAATGCAAGATCTCCAGCGAGTGGAGACCACTTCTGTTGGAACCCTTCAGATACCATACTATGGCGAACGCTAATATCAAGGCTTTGAGCTGCATGGGTTACGCAGTTCAACTGGCTCTTTCTCTCTGGGTATATCCTCTGAAAACGGATCAATCGCCAAATCCCTCTGCACGAGTCATCAGCCCCGTGGTGGTTATAGTAAGTGCGGTTAACACGAGCCTCGACAGATGGTCCTCCTTGGTAGGGTTCAATACTCCTAGCCTATTCACCACTTTGCTTGTCATGCATGTGGCCCGTATTGTATAAGATTCGGCGTCGTGGAAACCATGGTGCTCAACGACCTTCGTAACTCATGTAACTTTGTAACGTGAAATAGAGCTTCCAGATGACGTGATTAAATAACTCTGATATGGCAATGTCTCGATGTTGTCACGATCTGTATGACGTTTTATTAGGTAGTGGCGATGATGAGCAAACAAGACCATCCATCTCGCCTAGGCATTTGATTTTATCCAGGCTTTTCGCCGATGCTATCAACATACTTATCGTTAGATTGGTTGTTAGTCTTTGATCAGGCTCTATGAATTGAGTTCTCCAGTCCAGTGTGATCCCCCAGATGCAAAACCCGATTGCAGCCTCTCACCCGAAACTCGTCAACTCAATTGCGCACTTCGCGTGGTCGAATAGAAGCATGTTACATCTAGTATCCACAGTGTTCATTCACATTTTTCATTTTTGTGATTGCGATTCCGCGGAGATGGGACAAGCAAGAGGTCGACTCTCTTGTGAAAGCTCCTCCCCGTCTGAATCGGACTTCCTTTCGATGAGTGCGATCAAGGAAGCCTCTCAACTTTCGGAGTACTCGGACTCACGAAAAGTGCAAGCCCGTCCACCCCTCGATGGTTGAACCTCAATAACGTTCCTAAGATGTGTTGGGAAGGGAGAAGCGATGAGGGCTCCAACATTCTTCAGCGTGCGTCTTTGCCGATCCCGAATAATTTATGACAAATTAGCGAATCCGAATTGGGAAATTGTAAGCTCCGCTCTCCGAGTTGCAAGCGGAGCCCGTCGCGTTGTTCGGCGGCTCGCTGGGCTCTCAAAGATTGAGTCGATCAGATGCAATATCAGCCTCTCAAGTTGTAGAGAGTTAGTCGAAGGATCGGCACAGATGCAAGTCGATGCATGTCACACGATGCTGGAAAATAGTAACTGAAGGGGGAATTGGAAGTTCTCGGAGTTAAGATTGAATAAATGTGCTGAGTATGAAGAGGTGTTTTTCAAGATTTTATAATGTAAAGCCCCTCCGATCCAAGAGCGTTGGGTTGAAAAACTGAGGCGACATTCAGCGGGGACTGGCTCTCCAGTTGTGATTGAGTCCGTCACACTTTCGCTGAATTTCGCTTCTAGATAGACTGACACAGTTCTTAAGTGGACCTTACCATTCAAACTCGCCAACGCATGCAGTTGCCAAATCAATACGCAGCTGTGAATACTATCCACAAGTCGTGCTGGCTCTCAATAACGAAAACCTCAGTATCTTCAGCGAAGCACAATCACTAGTCTATCTGGATGCAATTGGTATATTCCCTCATCAACGGAGGCTTCTTCCCGTTGTAGATATATTCTAAGTATGATAGTCGCATCTCCACCTCTCAATGTCAGAAGAACTCGATAACACACAACATACCAATCGGCGATGTGGCTCAATGTTAGTTTTAATGCTACGTGTACATTCACAAACCGATAACAATACGATAATATGGAGCACTTTTACAGTAGTCAGCACGATAATGGATAACAATCAATCTTGAAACGATCCAAAGAATAACTCTCCCACTGCAGTTACCAATGATAATACAAATGGTCTCCATTCTCCCACACAGTACAGTTAGACGGGGACCGTTAAAGCATGAATCCACCACAGTTGGCCGATATTGATAGATGGCCATGGCGAGCGATAGTTGATAAACTACCCATGTTAACTATGGTCTGCGACGCCACCGTTATAAGCAAGCAGATAGTGGAGGGAATGAAAACATACCAAACACTTCTCTGGCCGATCAGTTTTCTATGTCCTTGGTAGAGGAGCGGTTAACCAAAAGGGTAGACTTGTAAACAAATCCTGGTTGAATTATAGATAACGTAGATAGAAAAGGATGGGGATGATTAGAATCATTATCATAATGCACCAGAAAGCATCTTTGATGGTGCACAACGATAATAATGATAATAATCACACAAATCGGGCCTGATAACAATTCAGTTATCCTGCCAAGCCGTAGGAAAGGAGACGAGAGAGGAGAGTACTACACCACCAGTAGCGTGTACTAGTCCAGCAAGGGAAACCACTGGTTCTCAAATACCTTCTGATGAGAGAAGCACAGTAATAAATCTATCAAGATTACTCTCAGCAATGGATCCTGGGGCGATGAGAGCCTATGAACAGCAACGAACTCTCCCATGAGGCTGATCATTAACAGTAAGATATCCTCACGGATTCTCGCAGTCCGGGCTACCTCCGGTCTCCGAAGAGCTACTAGCAGACTCAGCCGAGCAGTATTGGGAATGCTTGGAACATTCTCCAGCGTCACCACTCTCCAGCGGTAGTACCCCTCCATCAAGCGACAATGTACCATGGTTGTTGTCAGTAATAGTGATAGTAGTAGCGTCTGGTGATGATACTGGTACTCCTCCAACTACCATTGAGCGGACCTTTTGTGCTGCCATACCAGCTACACAGCCAGTGGCCCTTAGAGAGCCGTGTTTGACTTGAGACCAACTAGCACAATAAATAGTCGATGACACCTGTTGTACTCTATCACGAACTCTTATCCACCGCTGTCTCCGACATAGGCCATTATTATTATGATGCCCCTGATGGTAGTCAAGAGAAGTAGGCAATATAATATCATCATTGTAACCAGAGATAGGTACTGATGCTCGTCCCCTCTTCATAGAGGATGCTGTAGATATCGTACTCATAGCATCAGCCTCATCCTAAAACGATACCCTATGTCACACTGCTCTTAGTAACGGTAATAGGTTATGACCTGCAATAGTTGTTGGCGTGCTTCAAAGGCTGCCAAGTCATCATCCTGTTGTCTATCATCAGATCCTGCACTATCTGTATCGAGACGTATGCGTTTCATGCTTCGTAATGCTTCTTCTAAAACACCCTCATCATTGGGTGCCGTGTTCATCTAAACAACACTCCTTCTTGGTAGTATTGACTAGCAAATGATAGTACTCGTTGGCCGGGTAAGAGGGCTGGTGGTGGACCCGATAATGAAGGTATGACACATGGCTGTAAAGAGGCGAGCGGGTTTGGCGATAATGATAATGATGATGATGATGTCCGTGATGATGATGATGATACACTCGATGATGCACTTAGAAACCTGAAAAGAGTCCATGGTCATGTTATGGTGATGCGGTGTAATTACCTTGATCGAATGTCTTCATCACTGGACGTGAACTCCTCCACACTAAGGGCTGATGCTGCTGCTGGCTCTGATAACGAATGCCCTTCTCCCTCTACCGTCACCTCATGGGATTTCCTGAATCAGTGTGTAATACGCCGTGTAATTGCTGCTAGGATCCATGAGCACCCTTCTGCTGCTATTGGCACTGTGTTGGCCCCTTCTATTGCTCCCTTTGATCCCTCAGTATTTGATGATGGAGTGGTATTCGGATTATTATCGTCAGATAATATGAATCCCACTGCCTTTTCTGTGACATCTAGTGCTGCTTCAGTTGTATCAAGTAAACGATCAGACCATGATAATCCTCTGAAACAACAACTGGATTATTGCATCACCATACCAACAATACCACACTATTACCTATTCATAAGATTCTGTTTTAAACTCCACAATACACCACCCTCCTCATCGGTAATAACTCGTTGAGCATCATGAACACTCCTACCACATTGCCTCCTTTGATCATCATCCTGTTCCATTGTATCAATAGCATCAGGTGATCCCCCACTACTACATCCACCACCACTATCGTTTATACTATCACAATCCATTATAACACTAGAATAGGTATCGGGTAGTACTACTATCGAACCATGATGAGCACCATGTGCCGTATCATCAACGATTCCAAGCTCTGATAGCTCTATCGAGCTACTACTACTACGGTTACTCTGCAGTAGCGTGCTGTCATTAACATCAAGTTGTGGAGAAGGCCGAAGTGCTGTAGTGGTATTGTGGTGATCATTGGTGTACTCGGCAGCATCATGGAATTCATCCGACTTCGATGATGATGATGTTCCTGTTCCTGATGATGATGGTGATCTAGACTTGTTTATCCTCCAAGTCATTGAACTGTGTGACTTGAAAAATGTAACAACTATCCAGTAATCAGTTATAGTATATCAATAGAGCTATCATCATGAACAACAAAACACGTATTACGATGATGAACACACGGACAAGCTCGGGATGTCATTTCAACGGGAGAGGACGGCATAATCTCAATGTACGGATGGATCGTTGAGGAAGAATCACCAAAGGCTAACGTATACCCCAAAGGCGATTCTCGCACTAGTAAACGACATGAAGAAAGTTCCATATGCCGGGATCGAACCCGGGTACGCATATCCATCTTTGTCACTGAGTTGTAATGCAATACTTGTTGCACGAAAATGCAACATTTAGACGTACTGCCGCAAGTGGTGCTGTGAGTTAGGCTAGTAGTGATTGCTTATCAGGAGGTGATGGTAGTAGTTCGACTGTTATAATCTACCCCTCCCTCCCCCCCACAGCCCAACACTTCGGTGTAGCACTGATATCTCAAACTTGTTACAGGTCTACCCTGCCTCTCGAACACCAAGCGTCAGTTTTTAGCGGTCTAATGTCAGTGAGATTTTAACCTCAGTTGGGCTTGGACACTGACATTACGGTCTGTGATGTTGGAGCTGCAACTCCTGAAATGCGGTCCATAACCACAATTCGTCAGATGTATTATGAGCCCGTGATGGTACTATTGGTAGTGCTGTGGTGTTATAGGGACAATACTATAGGCCATTGACTCAGAGGTAGAGTAGGGGTGTTATTGTAATATACATGTCAAGTCTCTGTGAATCACTCTTCGAAGGGAACGAATGAAGGCATATCGTCCGATATGCTCCCACAACAACCACCACGTAGTATTAACATTATGAATCCATCATCTGGCATTGTAGATGCTATGAGAATTAGTTGAGTTTATTTCTAACCACTTGCACGTGATTAGTGGTCTTACTATGTAGTGTAGACTCTTTGCCATAATGTTGAACATTCACCCATCTATGATGCAGTCGGTCAGGGATATAGTAGGAGAATCATAAGGTACATAAGAGGGGTTAGCTTCCCCGGGCTCCGAGACCTTGAAGTTATCGTCGAGCCGAGCATATATTTCCCAGTAGTAGCAGGGTAAGTTGGTAGTGAGTACTATATATGCAAGCATACCCTTGCTATGCTCCCTCGTTTATCGAATGTATCTTGTTGCTACTTGAATCGTGTTGTAATATTAAATACGGCAGTTATATAAAGGAGTTTCGTAGTGTTTTACTTGGCGGCTTTCCCAAGGCAGGATGACTACTGCTGTTGCCCTCCCAGCTGCCAAGTCCCCAAAGAAGGTGGTCTCTCGAGCTGCTGAGAGATACCTCAGCAAGAAACAAGGGACTGCTGTAGTATAGGTCGGGGGATCAGGTAGAGTATATAGCTTTGATAACAGGTCCCTAAGTATCCTAGCGTGTACATCTTTGTCAATCCAACATCGGGAGGTAATAAAGCAGGGGAGCTAATGAAGTTAGGTATGGAGAAAATGTCATTCCAGGACAAGGGATTGGAGGCTGACGTAATACGGCTAAGGCGGTGGATTCGGCATTATACATGAGCATCATTGTAGGTATCAATATTCGATATCAGAGAGGGTCCTTCTGGGGAGAAGCCTGCATTTATGCAGCTACGTGACCTATTAGATTCACCCCAAGGGCCCGCTATGGGTGATTATGTTAGAGTAGTGGTAGCAGGTGGGGATGGGACTGTCATGTGGGTATTGCAAGAGGTAGTACTATGATAAGTATGGCGGTATGGTAGCCGAGTACTGCCATCATTATGTGTCAGTTGATTCAACATGGAATTAATACTGATAGAGTGTGTATCGGCATCATACCCTTCGGGACTGGCAATGATTTCTCAAGGTTAGGGTGCTCCTCTACACACTGTTATCACACATGATATTCTCCTATCAGAGCCACGGGGTGGGGACCGTCAGCACCATCAGACTTTCCTGGATCTTGCCTTAGTGGCTTTAGAACGTGGCTCAAGCGATGGCTATCTGCCACTATTAAGAAGTTCGACATATGGAAGGTTAGTAGGCCTGATAGCACGGTTTGGCTGAGTTAGTATACTCATCGAGTTGTAGGTGGAGGTTGATCTTGATGATGATGGTGGAGTTATATACCAACTTAAGGGTGGTAAGAAGGTACCTCTCACAGAGACTGACTCAGAGGTGGTAGTAGTACCTTGTACATAACATTGATGTACTCCCATGTAGGGTAATGCTACCGATAGGAAGTTAAAGAAGTTGATCAAGCCTATGTGTAACTACTTCTCTACTGGTGTGGAGTCCAGGTTGGGATTGGGTTTTGATAGGAATAGGAAGAAAAGCCAATTTGTGAATAAACTAGTGTAGGATGGATTGCTACTCACATCTGTAAGTGGTCATAGGTATGGAGTGGAGGGGACTAAGAAGATGTTATTCAAGAAGACTGCTAAAATAAAGGAAACAATGGATAGGGTTGTGGTAGTGATAGTGGCTCATCGGGGGTCCTTACATCGTCTGAATCGTGCTTCCCTTCAGAGCCTCTCGCCTGAGGATAGCAGGAGAGGAGAGCAGCACCAGCATGATGATAATAATACTGAGCTAATATTTCAGACCAAATCTACTGGTGATGATAAGTATATCCAGGGTAGGTAGTAGTACTAGGCTTTACCACAATTCATGCAGCTCTGTGGGAGTTGTACCATTTAGGTCATCCTGTATCGTTAATAGCGGTTAATATACCATCATTCGCTAGTGGATGTGATGTATGGAGTATGGCTAGGAAGCTCTCTGTGAAGGGTGCAGATAAGGTAATACCATATACAATGACCAGGACCTCTTCTCACAGTTCACTTAGGGATTACTCCGGAGGAAACAAGATATGGGGGATGGTATGATAGAATTAGTATCATACAATAGCCTCATGGGTATAGGGATGGAGCAATCACATGTAGCGTTATAGTTACAGAAACCACAGTTACAGAGTCAGACTTCTTACAGGTGTATCCATTGGCTGGCAACGGTCGTCGAGTACATCAAGGGCATGGTCCCATTGAGATGGACTTCAAATCTACCTTATCTGAGGATACTAGGATATACTTCCAGATAGATGGCGAGTTCTATACATGTCGGAGACCCCAGAAGATCACTATTTCCCATAAACAGTATATCAGAGTGATGGTAAACAATGAAAAGTAATAACAAGGAGAGCTGGAATCACAACTTGAAGTCTTATTAATATCTACCCCAACTTGATAGTGCATTTCAATATCTACCATTAGTACCCTTTGAAACCATTACTGTAACACAGGAGGAGTAAGGAGAGCACCACACTTATTGTTGTTGTTGTTGCCATCGCATATCAAATGGTTGGGTTAGTGTACCTTCAATCTTATCACCGAATGCTTGAACCAAACTGTAGTATCCCTCTCAGCACGGCCATGCATAACATATGGGCATACGCTATGCCGCATACCTGGAGTATTCATCATTATCAATGGAATCGCTCGAAAATAGTGCCCTCACTCGAGACGGCAGTCTCTCACAGTCCAAACAACAGCAATTCGAGCGATGTCAGATTTCCGATACCCCTCGAGGGAGTTGTTCCTTCACCTATATGTTGTGAAGATAGATCAGTTATCAATGTACCATCCTCTCCAACGACACTTCACTATGTCCCTCCTATGCTGCTGGGCACTACTTGTTGGCCAATATACTGTGCTTACTACTGCCTCTGAGCCTTTGCTGTCCCACGTTGAAGAATACCCTCTTGAAGAAGGTGGGACGCCGTTGATATCATCAGACCCTCTACAAGTAGGTAGCGATCATCATCTAGATATACTTATCGATCGTAACTCTCGTACCGTTACAATGTGAGAAAATTACTGGCAGAGGTGTCCTCCTATGCGAGAGGTGGGCATGCTCTCGTGAGTTCCAATAGAGGCATCCTTATCTGGATTTCTGCTCCAACCACTATCATTATCAGGTATGCAAAGAACTGTCCAGCGATATACTCATCCTAGTTAACCCGAAGTCTGGTGGGAATAAGGCTGAGGGACTGCTCACTGTGGACACTCCATATCATTATCATGAATGGACGGTATGTACCCTAGCAGAGTCCCCTTCAGTTGTTGAATCCAGGTAAACATGATCGACATCATTGCATTGGCTAATGGTGACACCGAAGCTTATGCTGGTATCGAGGCATTGAAGAAATCAATTGATAATGGCCCACCTGAGAGGTGTGAGAAGGTTGTCATAGCAGGTGGAGATGGCACTGTTACTTGGGGTGTCGATCTTGTAAGGACGAGTTCATGGTTTGCTCTTGGGGTGGACTGCTATCATACAGATGACTAAAGCTGGCATCAATCTTGAGAAGGTTGCTATCGGTATCATCCCTTATGGAACAGGGAATGACTTTTCACAGTAAGCTGGCAACCCTTGACGACCATATGATTCTTATCACAGGTCACTCGGTTGGGGTAAGACTATCGATAGTACTCTCCCTGGTAAGGGTAACAGAGCCCTGAATCAATGGATACATCACTGGGCCGGTGCCTCGGTTCACTATTTTGACCTCTGGCAAGTAAGTAGGAGTTTCACCTCCCAAGCCTCTATTATAATCTTTGCTGTCTTCGTACATCACTAAACTCCAGTAAATGGTGATGTCATCATCATCATGCTCCAGGTCACAGTTGATGTCCATCCTGGAGGTTGGTTCACTGAAGGAGCTCAAGAGCAGGTTATTCAAACTTCAGAAGACCCGAAGGTAGTGTCTATTGGGATCACCGAGCTGGCTGATTCTTCCCATTGCTCACCGCGTTCAGCAAAATGCTATGAGTATCACCAAATCGATGTCTAACTACTTCTCCATCGGTGTGGATGCTACCATCCTTAAAGAGTTCCAGAAGAAGCGGACCAGGAGCAGAGCTGGCAATCACCTTATGTGATATTAGTGCATGAGTAGTGCATGTATGTATGGAGCACCTTAATAGGTATGCCCTAGCTGGACTGAAGACATCGGTTAGACGTAGAGTTGGTACGGAGAGCTTCCTTGATTCGGTTAAGGTAGTAGTATGAGCATAGGTGGTAATGTGTACTGTACCTCGAGCACCCATCTCAGGATGATGGCCACCTCCTGTTTAACGTTGCTCGTAGGAGAGGCTCTAGGAGACGCGAGAATATGACTCTTACCAGTAGGTTGATGCGTACTGCATTCACACTGATCTTCAACTTTCTTAGAAAACGCCGCCACAATTATATGTCTGAACACCTACACCTATGCAGGAGGTCGACGTATATGGGAAGGCACGTCTGGGAAGGGATCCGCCATCATAGGCTATCAGGTAAACTGACTCTATATTGTTATTGCGCGGTAATACCGTGACGGTATCAACTATCGTGTTTGTGCGTATTTTCAACTCTGATACTGCGTTCACAACCCGAATGAAAGAATTTAAGAAAGATCAATAGTTGGTAGGAACAACCTTGGAGGATAACTCTGTAATCTTATAGGATAAAACTCTGAAAGATAAGCAGCAGGACTTTGGTGACAAGAAGCTAGAGCTGATGATGTACACCGATGTCGCATCCTTCTCGCTCGATGTGAGTGATGACCCACTACATATTCACCTAGGATCCTGGCGGTGATCCTGATTAGGCTGGCGCACGAGCTAAATCAACGGGGAACAGACTACATCAAACTGGAGGACCATTGACTTTCGAATTTAGGTCTGATCTTGATGCTAGGACCCCAGTAGATTTCCAGATAGATGGCGAATACACTACCGCCTTTAGCCCTAAGGCCGCTACTGTTAGTCACTACAAACGTCTCAATGTGCTGGTCAATCAACCGCGTCCCGGCGTAGAGGAAGTACTTGAGAAAAAGGAGAAGAAGAAACGGTTGAATCCGCTGCTCAAACGGAGAGGTGCCCAGCGTCGTCCCAAGGCGACTACGAGTAGTGAGGAAAGCATTGACTCTGACAACAAGCTTTGTAAGGGATTCTTCGGGTTCAAGTTATGCAGGCGCTGAACTTGGGCTGTGAGAAGAGCTGTGAAGTACTACTACGAATATTCAATCCTTGCGCAGTGGATAAAAATAAGGAAACTAGTGAGCTCTCCTAGTAGGAGACTCCTACATCTATCAATCGTATTACTTGACGATTCTTCCTTACATGACTTTGCATGACTACTTATCTCAATTTGTTCGGTTTGCTGGTGTCCTTTGAGGTGTTGTTAGATCATCCCAGTGTTGCGTTAATAGTCTGTGTCCTAGCAACGGGTGACCAAGAAGAGTATCTGTCGTAAGCAGTTATGGCCAGGGTTGTTTGTGTACCGCTATAACGATCCCTACGAGGGGCCACCAGGAGCTTTTCTTGGATTATTATGAATATCGTCATTAGTCTTCGCCGAACAGCTCAGTGGACACCAGATGCTAGTATAACGCTAGGCTGTTGGTCTGAGTCGATACAGTACTCGAGGCTGTAGGGTGCTTTTAGCGCGGAAGTCAGAACGAGCAGTAGTGCTTGATTATCGTCGTGTTCATCATCATCTACACTACAACGCTTATCGATGGAGTAACTGGAATTCTGGTAACAAGGAGTACAGAGCATGGTGCTGAGCTGTAGGGAGGTATGTCATCATAACACATCATCAGCTGAGGTCGTCTACATAACTGTTGCGAATCAGGTACACTACTCGGCTGGTCATAATCATTGTATAACCCGCCGTATGTTGGATCATCATGGTGATGGGAGGGAGCTGTACTTTCATGCTTTACAGACAGGTGGAGGGAGTTCTTGAGCATGACTCGCCGCATCACTGTCTATACTGCCATCATATAGCTCACAGCTGCGGTGGTGAGTGCGAGTGTCTCGAGCTCTCACACGATTACGTTGGCCGTATGAGGTACATGCCTCTGTAAGCCCAATCAGGTGGTAATGGGTCGTAGTTGAATGCTTCGTTGGACCGTCGCCAAATCCTTGCTGGTTGCGCATCGCAACTTGCGATCAAATGCCGAGTCAGTAAGAGTTGAGAAGTTCTTAATTTGCGTTCCCCAGCTCCATCGTAGTCCAGTCTCATGCCAATATCACCTTCTCAGACATGTGTATTATCACTTCCTGTTTTACCGATATCGTCTCCATTCGTGCAGTCCTAGCTCTATTGCCACGTCTACTCTCCCAAGTTAAAATGTGTCGAATCAGGAATGTGTTTCCAGAGACTGCCAGCTTTGTTGCATGAGTTTGGTTGCAGTGACAGTGTAGAACTTCTCAGAGTATCCTAACTACTAACAGGCTGCTGCCCTGTTTAACTAAGTCATCTCCTAATGCGCCTCACTAACCTCTGCTTGTGCATGCTCACGGTACTCGAGGCTGCAGCAGTCACCCGCAACGCCACCGATCACGGTCGACTCCCATCTCAGTTCGCCGCCTACATGACGGTTGGCAACAAGAGCACTCTCGGTGCCGACTTCATGTCTACTTCGTCAAGCATGGAGCCCGCTGTTCTTGATGGTGAGAGGGGCTTGGTCACCGTACCACTGGCTAACGTATTCAACATGTATTATTATGGTGCTGTACTCGTAAATGGGCAGCTTATCCGAGTCATGTTCGACACAGGAAGCGGTGTGGTGTGGATCCCTGGAATGGGTTCCAAAGGTGTTGATTGCGAAACACAACATTTATGTTTCATTAGCCCCGGATGCGAAGCTACAGGAGATGCTACTCGCCAAGTCTCTTATTCCTACGGCAGTGGTAGAGTTCTGCTCAACATGACTCATGCCTCCTTATCCATTTCTGGTCACAGTGAGATGCTCGTTCACAACTTCAGTCTTGGGATTGAGGTTGAGTTATCGGTCCACGGGTATGATGTGGCACAGTATGATGGGATCTTCGGTATGGCTTGGCCTGCTTTAGCAAGTGGCGGTGATCTCTTTGTACCAAAACTCTATGAGCAGGGACTTATACCGAGCAACCTCTTCGGTATGTATATATCTCGGTCTCGATCTGAGATGTCATTGGGTGTGATCGATAAGGCGAAGTTTAATGGAGAACTCCAGTACTGGAAGATACTTCTCGAGGCATGGTGGACTTTAGATCTCGAGTCTGTAACAGTGGGAGAAGGACGATCCCATAGTACGGGAAGCAGTCGGGAAGCCATCGGCGATAGACGACTTGCTATAGTTGATACTGGTACATCACTCATCACTGGCAATGTCGACGATGTGATAGCCTTGATGCTCCTCGTCATGGAGGAGAGTGGTGCGGTTATTGAATATTCTCCTGAACTCAACTTCTTCATTTTCGACTGTGAGCACATTCTGAATCTTCCAACGATCACATTTATCCTCCGTGGAGCCAATGGTGAGACGATCGCTCTCCCCGTCTATGGTTATGAATACGCTATGATGTTTGTAGATGGATGTATCCTCACCATCCAACCTCATCTTAGAAGTGGATTTGGTCCTCAGTGGATCCTTGGTGATCCATTTCTACGTGCATATTACACTGTTTACGATTATGATAATTCAAGAGTTGGCTTCGCGTCCGTTAAGGGCAGAATAATGCCCAGGTCCTTATCGAGTGCAGCAGCCCTAAGTAGTAGTTATAGTTTGTTTGTTGCTGTAGTATTGACCGCTATACTGAACATCTCTCTGTAATGTATCATATGAACAGTTTCTATGCCATTCTCATTGGGAGATGCGTTGGGTTTGTTATCGGGGTCCCCGATTCGGGGAGCGCGTCGCAAGAACAATATACAGTCTGCTCAAAAAAGTGTTTAGAGCAAATCTGGTTGAGTTATCCGCCGAATTTCGGAACGAACTGAGTACCATTGAATTGGAAATCCAGAGAGCTATTTGCTGGTTCGCTAAAGTTTGCGCTACATCGAGAATTCGTCAGCGTTGATATACAGCTTTCTCCATGACGATCTACCTCTACAATTTGAGCGATCCCACCTTTGTTGCGGCCGTGTTCAGAAAGGACAGGAGGGTGGATGTCGTCTTGAAGCATCGAGATCGCCGGGAAACTCCCTTTCGAGTTCGAGGAGGA